GGCAGCAGAGGACGGACCCATACGCTCAATGCTGGCCGCTGGCCAGGCCACGCTGGGCATGCTCAGAGGCCATCAGTGTATAGACACAGTCCCAGCTGCCCTCAGAGGCCACAGGCGGTGGGGACGGGATGGTGGAGAATTTGAGGGCAGTGTCATCTAACACAACCTCAAGGGGCGGGTGGTGGGGGGATCAGGGAAAGTCCCCGAGTGGCCAGGCCTCACGCAGGAGGAAGCAGAGCTCAGGGAGCAGTGACTGGCCCCAGGGAAGCTGCTGCCCAGCCCTTCCGCCTGCTCCTCAACCTGGACACTACCGTCTTTTGGGCCAGAAGCTTCCCTGTGGTGGGGGGACCTAGTGGGTGAGCCCGGTGGACCCTAGGGGGACTCAGTTCCAGCCAGCTCTGGGCGGGAGTCTGCCGTGGTCCCCAAGGCCACCCGCAGAGGGGCCGGCTGTGTCTCTGACCCCCACCACCCCTCCAGGTGGGAAGCGTCTCTTCTTCTCCCTCTCCCTATGGCCTGGCCTCCCTGTGGTGGTCTTGACCCTGTGGAGGGTCGGGGTCTGGGGAGGCCCTGACCAGCCAACTAGGAGCAGGATGACCAGACTTGGAGGGCAGGGGACGGAGGGCTGACGGGCTCAGGATTCCAGGGAGGGTCTACTAGGTCTGCTGGTGGCTCCTGTTTCCAGATGACCTGGGGCCTTAGATGTGGGTTTGGGGAGCAACAAGCAGCTCATCAGCAGCACCTGACCTGGGGCTGGAGGACACCCCTTCCTCCCCGGCCTCCCTTCCTCCTCTCGGCTTCCAGAACATGGCTCTCCATGGCGTTCCTATGACCTTTGGGCCTCTTTATTCCTCCATTAGCCCTGGGGGCCCCAGGGTTCAGCCCCTGACACGGTCCCTTTTCCATCTCACACACCCCCGTGGTGACCCTCCGTCCCCAGTCTCATGGTGCCGTGTCCCCACCGGAGGCTGTTGGCTTGTGAACTTCTCTTTCTAGTCCATCAGCTCCCCTGAAGAGAGAGAGTGTCTTCCACCACCTCCTTGATGCCCCACTCGGAGTTTTGTGTTTAATAGACCCAGTGCTAGGCAGAGGGACAGCTCTGCAGGCCTGTCCCTGAGTGCTGTGATTCCTGGAACCTGTGGGTGTGTTGGGTCACAGGGTGAAGGGGTGTTAAGGGTGCCAATGGAATTAAAGTTGCCAACCAGCTGGCTTTAAAACAGGGAAGAATCCTGGGTGTCCAGGTGGGCCCAGCAAAATCACACGGGGCCCTCGATAGCAGAGGAGGAACCAGGCGTGGTGCCCACCTGTAATCCCAGAGACTCAGGAGGCAGAGGCAGGAGGACTGCAAGTTCAAGGCTGGCCTCAACAATTCCGTAAGGTCCTAAATAACTTAGTGAGACCCCGTATCCTAAATAAATAAATAAGTAAGTAAATAGGCTGGGATGGAGCTCAATGGTAAAGTGCCCTGGGCTCAATCTCCAATATTTCACCCCCCAAAAATAAACTGAAGGAGGAAAGCCCCTCTTCCTAGCATCCCATGGTAACCCACCGGCGCTGCCTCAGCAATGCAGCCAAAAGCCGTCTCCACCCCGTCCTGGAGGGCTGCACGTGGCTTCCACTGGGGCCTCCGACCCAACCTCTGCTACCCTGCCACAGGGTGGTCAGGGAGCCCAGGTAAACTTCAAGGTCACCTCCCTCCTGTGCTTGGGGCCTTCTAAGAGCTCTAGTTTTCTCTAAGAATAAAAGCCAGTGTCCTTAGGAGGCTCATGTCCAGACAGAGCAGGGGTCATCAACCGTGGGTGTGTCCCAAAGACAGCCGCTGGCCCCACACCTGGACCCCAGAGGTTCGGGTGGAGGCCTAGGGGCAACTTCCCAACAAGCCCCTGGGTGCTGCTGCTGTGGCACTGGGGAACACACTGAAGGGCCTGGCCCCTGTGGCTCCAAGTGCGTCTCCCAAGAAGCTTATACAATCCCAGTGTCTGGGCTCCAGCCAGAGACTCGGGGCTCAATGCCCCACAGTATTTCTTTAAGGTCACCAGGTGATTATGATGAGTGACCTATTAAGAAGCGAGGCCCACAGCTCCCGGGCAGCCTCCTCCATCTCCCTGGCTGCGGGTCCCCACTCCCTGCTCTGGCCACACGGAACCCTGTGGACACCCAGTGCCCCCCACTTCCCAGCCTCTGCGCTCTCTGCAGCAGATCCTCTCCTGCGCTCAGAGGCCTCCTGTGCCCCTCTGGCCAGCAGATCTCACACACCTGGCCCCAGGTTCATGGGCAGGGGCTGAGGCACTGGGACAGAGAAGGTTCCAGTCCTCCTCCCTTATTGGCAGGAGTCTCTCCTGAATTCACGGAGCTGCATCAAGCTGCTGCCTGGTACCAGTCTCTGTTGCAGGCCSGGGAAGTACAGTGAGCAGGACAGAGTCCCTGTCCCCACGTGCTGGCCACAGACTGACAAATAAACTGAGTATCCAGTACCGTAAGGTGGGTCGGGGCTGGGAGGAGAACTCAGGTTTGGGAATTTAGGTTCCTGCAGGAGGGCGGGATGTCACCAGCACGTCAGAGTGGCTGGGGCCCACACCCTCCGCCATGGTCTCAAGCAGGCTTCCATGGCTCAGGGGCGACACTCACACCCTGTGGGAACACGAGCCCTCCGAGAACCCTACTTCAACACTCAGGAAGACAGACCACACCACACCACGTCTACAACTTCCCTGGCCTCAGGACCTCCGTGGGCCTCCCGGGCCCAGACTCCACCCCGAGAATCCCGAGCCCCTCAGCCCTGCGTGTCCCAAAGCTGGGGAGGGATCTCCTCGGTGGCCCTCTGGCTGTCCTGCTAGCTCCAGGCTCTTTGGTTCTGAACATCCCCAGGGACTCGTGGCTCTGATTTCTTGCAGACGAGAACCACGGAGGCTGAGAGAGGACAAGGAACCACACAGGGGCAAGTTTGCAGTGGTCCTGGAGGACCAGCCCCCTTCCTGCCCCCAGTGGCACTGAGAGCAGTTCATGGCCAGGTGGATGGGACAGCCCAGGCTCCTTGCAGCTCATCTGACAGTCCCTTAGACACTGCCCAGCCATTGGGTGCTTCCAGGCCCCTGGCTGGCACTGTTCCCCATCAACACAGAACATCTAGAACTCACAACTCCCCCTCTGTGACCTAAGCAGGGGGGCGGCTGGCTGAGCAAGAGCATGTTTTCAACCGCGAATCCGTTCTATTATTACAAGCAATCAATCACTCCTTGCTAGTTACGGCTGAGAGTAATGGCTCACCAAGTCTGCGCGCCGACTCACGCCTGCTGTGGTCCCCGCAGGCAGGAAGCATTATTGGCCCATTTTACAGATGGTGCAACTGAGGCTCAGCATGGTGAAGGGACATCACACCAAGTCTTTGAGGATAATTGGACCCTAGCTCAGGCCTGGCTCTGTTAGGCTCTGGACTCTCCCAATTGTTTCAAAACCCCAGAACTCCGAGGAGCACACGTGAGCACTTAGACCACAGAAGAGAAACTTATCAGAGCTGGAAGCAGGTTTTCAGCAGGTGGCAGAAAGCCCGTGCTGTCTTGCACAGCCCTTGCACCTTGTAAATCAGCCCCTGTCCTCAGCAATCACAGAGGCAAACCTCAACCCTCCCCAGAGCTGAGAGCCAGTGGGCCCAGTTACTAGGTAAAGCCAGGCTGGCTGGTCCTGGTAGAAAATGGATAGGAGGGGACAGGGGACAGAGATGCCCTGCAGGAGGCAGGACACAGCAGTGGGGGAATGCCGGCCCCTGCTCCGATCCCAGGCACCTGTACAGCATTTCCCACTAAAACCCAGTCACAGATGACGCTGCCAGGGTCAGCCTCCAGCCAGCGAAGGCTCGAAGGCTGGGCTGGGGCCAATTTCCTCCCCAGCTCCCACCTAGGCTCAAGGTGGCGGCTCTCTGAACCACTCTGAGAGCTCCTTCTCTCTGGGTCTCATGAACTCACCTAGGAAAGAGGTGTGATGGAACTCCTGGGCTTCTCGGAGGCCTGGGACAGGAAGTCGGGCAAGGATCCTGCCCGGCTCTGGAGGCAGAATGGAGGCAGGGCCTTCTTCCTGGCCGTGCCCTTCCCAGGGGCTCTCCAGGAGACTGCTGGGCAGTCCTGCTCCCTCCCCTCAGGCCTCTGGCTTCCAGTGGCAAGGGCTGGAGCCTGGCAAGGTCAGCAGAGTGCTGAGGCAGGCAGGACGCCCCTCCTCCTCCGAGGCTGGAGGGTGCAAGCCAGCCCCTTTCCCACCCACCAGAGCTGCACCTGTATCTAGGGACAGATTGGAGGGGCAGTTCCCATCCCTGTGTCAGGGTCTCCTTCCTAACCAGCTGTGCCCTGGAGGGGCCCCTCCTCCTACCCTGCAAAGACAGGGCCCTAACCGAGGCTTGGGAAGCAGCTGCTCCCAGGGGCCTGTCAGGGGTCCAGGAAAGCCTCGGCCTCTGGTTTCAGAGTAGGTCTGTCTCCTCAGTTAATATTTTATTGGGACAGAAATGTGGCACTTGCAGATTTGGTTACTGATCCCCTGGGCCTGAGCTTCGCTTGAGGAGGGGGAACTGGATACCGGCTGGAGGACTGAAAGGGGCGGCCCCTCCTGCCGCAGAGGGCTCAAATCACTTGCCCTCTGCTAGGCGCCTCGGAGCGAGGGTCCTTCCGGTCATATCCACCCAGTGCTACCTCCTGCCGCCGGGTGGCCCAGGCCAGGGGCGGCTGGGACCAGCGGGCCTAGGACAGCCATGCACGTACAGTCAAGGTGTCACTGGGCACTTAGCTCATATCCACCCAGAGCGCCGCAGCCCTGTCCCTTCTGGGACTCCTCAGAGCCCTAGCTTTCTCTGCTCCTTTAGTCCCAGGCCCAGCCCTCCAGAGCCAGGAGGGGGCGGCGGCGGCGGAGACCTCCAGGGCCGCTCCTCGCCAGACCCGCTAAGAAGCGGTGCAGTTGCCTCCCCACAGCCCGGTGGCCCCTGGCGAAGGGCAGCGGATGGGCAGGTGGCCACGCATTACCTTCCATGGACATGGGCTCCAGGATGCCGAACTGCTTGAGGACGGCGATGAACAGTAGCACAACCACGGCCATGGCGCACAGCTCCATGCCCTGGATGCCCATGGCGCCTAGGCTTCCTGGGGCCAGGGCGCACCCCTCGCCCGCGCGCGCCGGGGCCCGTGCAGCCCGCCCGGCCTCTCGGGGTGGCGGCGGCTTACATGCCCCCGGCAGGCGGGGCTGCGGCGCTGGCGGGGCCGGGACCCCGCGGAGGGCGGCGGCGGMGATGAGCTGCACTGGCCTGGAGGCTGGACACCGCTGGGCGGCCGAACCCGAGCGCAACTTTCCCAATCAGCCCGCAAACTTCGAGGCGCGGCGGCGGCGGCGCGGAGCGCAGCTCCGGAGGCCAGCGCGGGCCAGCGGCGCCTCCATGCCCGTGGCGGGCGCCGCGCCTCTGTCGCCCCCTCTCCTGCCCTGAGGGCGCGGGGCCACGGTGGCAGCAGCGGGGGTCCCCGGGCGCTCCCGGCTGCCCCAGCCTTCATCGCGGCTCCCCGCGCGCTCATTGGCCTAAGCGCAGCGACCACTAGGGGAGGCGTCCCCGGCCGCCCCCTCCCCCGCCAGCCCGGGAAGGGGCGGAGGGAGGCGGCCCCGCCCCGCACGGTCCAGCCCGGGGCCGAGCCTGGCGCCTAGCCACCGCTACCCGGCCAGCCCCCGGGAGGCCACGCGGTCTGCGGTTTCACCCACCCGCCCGCGCCGGGTCGGGACCGAGTGGCCGGGGGACTGGGGAAGCCGGGTGCCCGAGAGGAAGGGAGCCGCGGCCAGGCTCTCTGCAAGGAGTCAGGGCTCCGTGCTCCTCCGGGAGGGGTGCTGAGCCTGGCCACCGCCGGCCCGGCCTGCCCCTTCCCGCCGGCCCACGCAGGTGGTCTGCGGAGGATGCGGGAAGCCCTCTCTCCAGGGGTTATTTCCCGCAACCCTCAGCCCCCGGCCGGAGATTGAACTTGGCCATGATTTGGACCCTTTGAAAACGGAGAAGTTGATATCCAAAGTTCTTCAGTTCTGGAAACCTGCGTGCGCTCAAGGGTTTAGAAGGAAGCGCAGGCTTGGCACTAGATTCTAAGGAACTGAGTTCAAGTTCTGACTTTGCCGTGTGACCTTGGTCGAGTCCAGGACTCGCAGACTCTCGCTCTGTAAGGGACCGATCTGCCTTTCCGGCTGTGCGGAAGCGCTAGGAGTCTGAAGAGTGCTACGCGCCGGCAGCGCAAGGGCGTGCTAATTAGTTTGTGGAAGGCTTCCTCCCTGACCCGGGCTCGGGGCAGAAGGGTAGCGGCGCAAAGGACGGAGAAACGCGGAGAGGACGGGGCGTGGCAGGGCGGAGCCCGGGATGCTTGGGGCGGGGAAGCAGCGGGGCTGGAGGGCTGGACCCTCGACTCTGCTGCCCTCCAGCGGGCRCCGCGCACCGCGCACCGCGCACCGRGGSTGTCCTTGCCAGACGGATTTSRAGAGCGGGAAGCGCCAGSTGAGGCGCACAAGGAAGYACACCAAGTCCTTCTTGCTTGCTCTCTTAGCGCAGGAGAAATTTCAACATCGGTCCACGCACATGGTGTGAACCCATTTGGACCCACGGCCTGAACAATCTCAGCTGCATYTCGGAGTTTTTGCTACCTATTCGGCCATTCACTCAACAGTGAGATATACTTTGTCCCAGGTGCTGATCCTGGGGATCCCTGGTTGGGTGACAACTGTTTCGTGAGGCTGCTGAGGGCCCTCTTGGAACCAGTGTTATCTGGTCCAAACTTTTGGGTTTACTTGTAATCCTTCAGGATTCCCCTAGAGGGCATTCCTTTTYCCYCATYGTAYAGATGAGAGAACTGAGACCCCCAGGGTGAAATACCTASGGGGGCGCGGGTATGCCCAAGTCCTGCAGGATTCTGGAGCCAAGTCTTTCCCGGTTGAAAATGACGCAGAGAGGCGCTGCAGCAGTCCAACCCACTCCTTCACATGGCTTAAAAGCCCTGGTTGGGTGATATTTTTAAAGAACTATTAATGCACAGCTTTTATTTCCAGTTAATTGGATGCAGTGAGTCTCCACTGACCAAGGCAAGGGGTCTAAGCAGAGAGGCTAAGGATCACAGAGAAGACGGGACTGTTTGAGCATCCAACTTGCTAACATATTTAAAATTCTAGGAAGATTAAAGGATCTTTTGCAATCTAATTTACATACTGGAGTGCAGAGCAAAATGTAGCCCATGTCCCAGCTAGTTACCATGGACCTTAAGTCAATGACTTGGTTGACAGCCCAATAGTACTTAATGTCCCCAAACCTCAGTTTCCTCATCCATAAAAATGGGAACAAGAATCCACCTCTCCAGGGGCTTGTAAAGGATTGAATGTGACAACTAGCATGGGACAGGGGCTCTGATGGCCCTTCATAATGAGCTGGATGTGCTCAGCTTTGCAGGGTGATGCGTGTGCCAAGTGAGGGAGAGAACCCAACATGCAAAGGAAACCATCTTGGGGTTCTTCCAAGTCTGGCACCCATCCACCTCCCCTGCCTCAGTTTCCCTTGTGCTCTGAGCATCTTCCCAGTCGCAGCAAAAGCTCAATGACGGTCCATAAACACTGAGCTATAAACAAGACATCGATCCCCTGCTCTATGGTGTAAAATATTAACGACGCCTAAGTGGATAGCAGGCCCGAGAGCAGAACGTCCGCTTGGTATCAGCAGCCTGGGCTACAGGCCTAATGGATGGGCTGATCCCTGCTCACTCCTAGCTCAGGGCCCATCGGCTCTGGGGCTCACCCAGGCCCACTGATGCTCCTGCCACCTTCCCCTTCCCCAGAACCTAGAGAAAGTGCTGCAGACAGGTCCCAAGCCCCGTGCTTCCTTGACCCACCATGAAGTGCCAGGCCAAGCCCTCCCCAGCAGCCTCTGCCATGCCCCGGGGGACTGTCTGTCCTGGCAGGCACCCGACCCTTCCCAGCATGCTTCTGTGCCTTCCTGGGCGCACGCTCAGAGCTGATGGTGCCACTGTCTTGAGGGAAGGGTCGGGCGGGGATGGGGTGAAGGGCTGACTTGGAGGTGGAGACAGATAAGGGGCAATGGGGGGTCAGGGAAGGCCAGGGCTGGGAGCACTCCCTTGAAGACCTCAGGGGTGCTCTGCATCCTGGTCTCCTTCAGGAAGTTGTCACTGGAAGGCGCTTACACCCCACCCCTAAGGTCATGGTCTTTTTTCCTGGGACGCTGAGGTAGCCAGGCCAGTGCTGCCGCCACGAACCCACCCAGGTTACAGCAGACCAGCTCAGCCCTGTCTCTGAGCGCCCACGGCCTCTGCTGCCTGGGCCGCCATTCCCCCCAGCACTTTGGCCATCTGCGTGCCACACCTCCTCCCATGTTGTCCCGTGTAGCCTCTGTCTCACCACGGCAGTGGTGTCCGTCCCTTGAGGCAGGAGGCGGCCGACTGACAGTCACTGGTCCCTCCACGCTCCTTCTTGGTCCTGAGGGCCTCACTGCTTGAGGGCTTCAAGAGGTCTTTTGACTCTCACAGGAGGGACTGAGGGACAGCCTGGACCCATGCTGTTCGAGGGACCCATCCCTGAAAACAGCCCAGCAAGCCCATCCCCTCCAAGCTCTCCTGGGGTGGGGGACAGCCCCTCCCCCAGATCTAGTACATTCTACTGGGCAAAGCAGATATTATCCAATTTGTTTATCCTTCTCATTTTTCATAGAAACCAGACAAGAATGCCCAAGAGTGGAATTTCACACCCCCAAGAAATGCCTCTAGGACCTTCCCCCTGATGTCCCCAGGCACCTCAGACTCGGCACACCAAGAGCCAAGCTGGCTTCCTCAATCCTGTAGCTCCCCCAGCCTCTCCAGCTCTGTGGCTCAGGCCCTAGCGCCGGCTCATACCCTGGAATCCACCTGTCCCCCACTGTGCCCAGTCTATCATGAAGCTCTGGCACCGTGTCCCCTTGACCACTCTCCCATGCCCACCAGCCTGGCCACATCATCTCCTGGACTCCCAACATTGATCCCCAATTTCTCGTCCACCTCACTCCTGTCCTCCTATCTCTCTGCATTCAGCGACTAAAGCCCTCATCTCAAGATGCACATCAGATCTTGTCCCTCCTGTTTGACCTCCAGTGGCCTCTGACTCAATGCTGGCTGCTCAGCCTTCCCCAAGACCATCCCGGATTTGGTAATTGCACCTKATTTCTCTTGTAGAGCCCCTGCCAGGCTGCTCCATGCCACCCTGTACTGCCACCATGATCAGCTCATGGATGGGCACTGGATGAGAGCCAGACCAGGAGATCCCTCCATGGATTGGCTCTGGGACAGTCCCTCAAGTGTTAAGAGGAAAACTCTCCCACCCCACTGCAGGGACCCCAGGATTCCTCAGCACATGTCTCCTGATTCCAGGGGGGTGCAGTTATTGGTGGGCCATGGGGTGGGCCATGTGGTTTGCATGATCCAAAGAGGAAAATAAATAAGCTTTGTTCTTTTAATGCCTCAAGGAAAGAGATGAGATGAGGTGAGAACTATCGATTTTGAAAATAGATGTGGCAGGAGGGGGAAATAGTGGATATTGAAAGCTGTTTCACAGCGTTAGGAAAAAAAAAGGCTTTTGGACCAAACAGAAGAAATAAGATGGTAGCAAAAATAATTTTTCAAAGATTTTTTAAAAAAATTTTAGTTGTTTATAGATTTTTATTTTATTTATTTATACATGGTTCTAAAAATAGAACCCAATGCCTCACACATGCCGGGCAAGTGATCTATTGCTCAGCCCCAGCCCCAGCCCCTCAAAAGATTTTTTTAAGATTTCTCAATCATTGTCAAACAAAGGTACGAGAGAGAGAGAGAGAGAGAGAGAGAGAGAGAGAGAGAGAGTAAGCCAAGACTTTTATACCCAGATGAGTACTTGGGTAGTGGTTGCAGGATGTAGAACTAAC